TTGATTTGTTAATAATTAAATTAATTTTGTTATTACGTATGTATATAGTTTTTACAAAATCAAATTTTTTAATAATGTTTTTCCCTTAAAGCGTATTTCAACTTCGTTTTCCAGTTGCCACATCCCCATTTCTTTTTCGTTCTATTTCACTTTACTGATTTTCCCAATCATTTTCGCGAATGCGCCACCGAGAACAAAGCCATCCGAGGAAACTCCCATTCCCGCCCCCGATTTCATCCAGTGCCGCCGCTTCCGTCGTCGACATCGTGCAAACAAATGCGCATAAAAATCCATTATTTTAGCAAACACAACACGCACACACACTCCACGCCACCCTTTTACAATGCCAATGCAGTTACAAGCAATTTTTTTCCGTGCACAAAATAAATATAAAAGCGTTGAAACGAAAACATTTTGGAACAATATAAAAATTGCAAAAACGAATGCTCTTGGACGCTGTGGGTGGAGGTGGGTGGATGTGGGTGGAGATGGGTGGATGGTAAATGGTGGGTAGTGTGGGTGGGAGGGGCGTTAAGGTACAAGCCCCACAAGAGACTGGGGTCAAGGGTTGAGGGTTGAGGGGGCGGCGTTTATTGGCAACAGTGTTGCTATTTGTGTAAACGACTCGTAAAATTTTATGTTGAAGCTGTTTCATAGTAGTGGCGCTTTCATTTTTTCAGCGCTTCTCCGCGTTATTTCAACCCTTTCTGCTATTTTTGGGTTGCCAACTCATGTAAGGGGCACGGGGTCAGCCTACAATTGAGTTGCATGTGGTCGTTGTTTCTTCTGGGGGAGTGCATACTTTTTCGATGGCCAAATGGCGCAAATGATTGTAAACACTGATTACAATTATGCGGGAGGAAATGCTGGAGGTGTGTGTGTGTACGCTTATCTGCCCAATACCCCCCACCCCTCTTCTGCTGCCATTTTCTTTTCAATTTGTTTTGTTGTCAGTTCCAGCAAAATTGACATCTATTTTATGTTGCATCTGCATTTCAATTTTGCCCCCTGGTCCACATGTCGGAATGGGGTACGGAATACATGTAAATATTGGATATTGATTGCATTTCGCTTCGCCTGCCAACTTGTCAATGTCAACATAGTGGCGTGGGGGGGAAGGGGGGTGGGGATTCGGCGGTTAGGGATTCGTCGAGGCCGGGAAATGCGTGATAGATCGCTCAACAACGGCGCCAGCGGAAATGTGGAAAACTTTTATTGAAATTCATTAGTCGAACGCTGAAAAAGTTTGCATATTATATTTACTTCCGTCCTGTCATATAATATCCCATCTTCCTTTTTTTTGTTGAATTTAATGAAGTGCAACTGACATTGCAGTTGGCGTCCCCGTTTGGATGTAATTATGACTGGCAGACTGGGGGGAAAAATGCACCACAATCCCCTAGAATCTTTCGAAACAGGGGTCCATCTGTATGTCCTTCGACGTACTTTGCATTTTGGGAGGATGAGCACATGAGCAAAGATTTAATTTGCTGATGAAGTTCGTTTGTCTGCATTCCCTTCAGCTGCAGTTTGCTGCCAATCTCCCTGCTATGCAAATAGTCAAATGTTGGACCTGTCACTGCTGGCAAATATGATCCACTGCCGAAATAGTCGAGATGGGGGTCCGTCGATGTTTGTGCTCTGGATTCGGTGTCCCAAATTAGAAACAAATTTGTTTAATTCAATAAAAAAAAGTTGATTAAAAGCAATGCTGGCGAGGGAACATACGTTTATACCATATACAAAGATGGGTCCTTGGTCCAAAAACACCAAATATATAACATTTTTCTGTCTGCCAAATGAAATTAATTTAATTTCAAGTTTCTGAGGTCCGACCTCCTTCTCCTGCTAAACAAAAACCAATGAAATGCAACCGAAACATCAGCAAAAACTACCTGTCCAGTGTGTTTTGTTGCCTTCTCCTGTGGCTAACTTATCGTTGGCTGTACAAACAGGGAATAGCGGGTAATTTTGTTATTTTTTGGCTGCTATTTTCTGGTTTCGGTTGCGTATGAAAGTACCACTTTTCCCCTGCATATGTATATTATATTTGTTTTATCAGGGACGCCCGAATGTCTGCGTGCCATGAGGAAATGGTTTAATCTTGTTTGCCGGAGGGGAAATATGGCCAGGCCAAAGGTTAAAAATTAATGACGCGTTCCGGGGACCCAACACAAATGTTGTCAAAGGCATCAAAGTGCCTGCCCACACACACACCCGCTCACCAACACGCACACACAAGGCGCACTCACACCCACACACACATTGGATACGAGCAGAGAGCGTTTCCAATTAAGCCAATCGAGCTGCAAAAAGGCAGTCGGGATGGGAAAAGGATGTGGATGGGGAAACGGGAATGGCGCGTAATTAAAATTTAATTTGCGCCCAAAATTAGACTATGAAATTTCAATAAGGCGCTCTGGATGCTCACGAGTGAAAAGGCAAATATTGTTTCGCCAAAAAAAGCAAATGGTAACAAAGTAAATTAGTTAAATTTTGCAACGAAAATCCCTTTGATTAAACGCAGCCAAGTGGATGAGATGGAGCTGCTCAAAGGAAGAATCTACACTGAAAAAATAGGATTCATGCTGAGTTGCCTTTTATAAATGGATATTTTTGGATGGTGAAATAATATAGATTACAATTTTTAATGTATCCAAAATCTAGATTGGTTATTTAACTTCGTATTTATATGTCAGACCATTGAAAGCTGTGTGAATAAGATTAGCAGCAATAAAGAAGGTATATTACTTTTACATTGCTTTTTGGCTTTGTCGCTTTTCGACAGTAAATTTTGCTCTGTGCATCCAAAGCTTAAATAAATAACCAAGTAGCTGCTAAGAAGCCAAGATATAAGACAAACATGGCGACACACTCGCTTCTGTTTCCCCCCTTGTACTACACTCTCTTGGCAATCCGCGCGCATAAATTGTCAAAACGAAGTGTTTGGATTAAGCTGGGAGCTGTGCTCGTGAGCAGGAGACCATGACCTCGCCTGGCCACAGTGGCTACAAGTGCACCACCACCCACTGCTCATCCACCTGCTGGCCAATTTATTTATACGTGTTTAAAACTGATTTATGTGAGGGAGGCGAAGGCTACAGCTCCACGCCCCTTTTTGGCCAGCAACCACGTAAGTTGCGTCTTTAATTTAGCTGCCAACCAAATCCTTACCCCATCCCCTCTGATCAACCCCCGACCTTCGCCACAAATGCATTTTCAATGGAATTTCTCACTTGGAGCTCTACTTTCTCGTGAGCTGCCGACGATTTATGTGGCATGTTCTGGCGTTTCGCACCTCCGTGCAAAGAACTGCCACCGCTTAAAGTCGGACTTACCTAAAATCTGTTTTGGCACAATACAAAAAATACCCCAACACTCCGCTAGGCCCTTTTTGCACGGATGCCAGGCAACCGGGCCAAAAGAAGCTTTACATGGTGCACACTCTGGGAAAATCTGTTATCGCATTAACAATTTCCTACTAATTTCGACGCACAGGCTGGGTCGCCTCGTTGCCGAGGGGAAAAATCCTGTAGATATAATTAAATTGCGTGCCAAACTAACCACCAGTTGGGGGAATATGTAAGGCTGGAAAAGACATAAATGAATGCCCTTTCCATAGTAAATTAAGGTTTCCCTAAACATAAAACGATTCAATTAATTTATAAATAGAATACATAAAAAATAAATTTCAAATGATTTTTTTATGTTATAAATACAAAACCCAACTGCCAATGAAATATAATCCAAAGTAAGAGTATGCCACATGGGCACAATAATTTCATTAGGAAACATTTCCTGGCCCTGCAACAAAAATCAGGAACAGAAACCTTAATATTTCCCACTTGTATTTAAGTAATTATGCTGGAAAAAGTCCCCAAGCGGAAAAACATAACTGATGCACGTTCGTGTGCTTGTCAGCAGGGGGCTTAAATATTTGCCTTGTCATTTATTCACAAAAATCTTCATTATACATAAACATGTTATTTATATAGCCATCGGCAATTCACAAAGCGAACTAAGCTGCTTGCCAGCCAGACACTTAGAGAAAGGGGGTGGCGTTAGGCCAGGAATTGACAGGACATTGTGGGCACGCAACAATGCAGAAGGCGGGGGAAAGGGGGAAAGGGGGGGCCAAGGCCTCGACTTAAGTCCTTGCACATCAACTCAATTGATGACCCTTTGGCAGTTTAACTGCCTCAACATCGCTTAATGTGCACTCCATCAACATAAATCACTCATACGTCACGTTAAACACGCTCAAACTTCAAATGACGTGTATTTAAACGGGGGGAGCGGAGGAGAATGGGGGCACATGGCCATGGCCATAAATTAATTAAGCCTGCCCGCTGCTCTCTCGAAGGTCCAAGTTCGCGCTCCGCCCCCCTTAAGCTGCAATTAAACTGTAAAAGCGAAAAGCGAACGGACCGCCAGCGATGGCAGCAACAGCAAATTACAACCATTTACAATTAATTTGAACAACACGCTGCCATGCAAATGGCGTGCCATGGCTCATAACTTCCAATGGCCACCGAAACCCACACGCCGACGCACTCTTTGAGCCATTAAAAAGGGACCAAGGCAAGACCAACGTGCAAATACTCAATTAGCATATCAATAAATCAAGAAAAAAGAGTGTCGGTGGGGCCACGCCCCTACGCCCTTTGCTGGGGTAATCAAAATTTAGTTAACAACGCCAAACAATTTATTAACTCACAGCGGGCCACGGGGTTCGACCTTGAGGCTGGCAACGTGACGTATACGTAATCTGATGGCGTGCCAACCCAATTAATCAAGATGTCCTGGAGCTCAAGCGTATTGAATTGCACTTTTGTCAGCATAGGCATGAATGATTTATTATGATCGCGAAGGTGAGAGTATTTTTTCATTACACGTTTCCGTTTAATAATTCATTTTACTCTGCTCAATTAAACATATTTTAATTGTAAACTGTTGCGATTCATTTGAAACAAACAATTAGAGAATTAGTCGAATTTGAAATGTCTACTCAGTCGCAGGTTCTCTCGATTTCTGTGAGTAGAAAATCCAACTAAGGAAGTTTTTGTGACTAAGAATATTTATTGATTGATAGCTTTTGATCTGTTTTTGTTCTCTGATGAACTGTGAAACGAAGTGCAAATTGCTTAGGAAAAAAGCCGCAGTATGTAGGGTTGAACTTAAATTGGTATCATATCATGTAATATATCCCATCAGGACTTATCGATCAAATGCTGTCAGTTGACACGTCCCAGTTTGGACAAAGGCAATGCAGAATGCAGAAGAAGTCTCAACTTGCCGGCCCACCGAAAGTTTAACTTTGCCGAGCTCTATTCGATTAATATGGTGAGCAGAGGAATTGCATTGATCACGGATAAATCCTTCTTATCTCACCGCAACAGTGCATTGAGGAGTGCAACTACATAAGCTCCGGCTATATCGAAATCGATCCACCCTATCGCCTGGACTTGGCCAACATCCGCATCAATCTGAAGACCATTGCCCCGCAGCCGCAGTTGGAATCGATTCCATTCCTGGTGGATGCATATAACAAGTGCGAGAATTTCCGATCGATGCACGGAGGACGTTTCACTCTCCACCTGCCGGATATTGAGTTCATCGAGGAGCCCTGCAACCCTTTCGCCTTGCAGCTCACCATATGCATCCGGATCCATGCCATGCAGAAGTGCCCAAGCCAATTCTACGTGGACAGCGAAGAGTGTCGATTGGCCAGGGAATATTTCACTCAATGCGTTGGCGATATCGAAGCGAATCTCGCTTAGGATAGAACCGGAAATCTGAGAAAGTTCATCGTGTGTCCCTTTGAAAACTTAAATTGGGGACCTGCTTGAAAGTGTTGAAAAATAAAAGAAAAAGTCATAAAAGTCATAGATGAAATATGGCAATTTGACTGTCGGAGTCCTTGGTGTGTGGGTGACTCTGGTCTTGGCTGCAGTGTCACAACTGCAAATTGAATCGCACGCTCACACACAGACCTCCTCGCATGTCAATGTCCTCTGCTGACTTTGCATAACTTCGTCCGCTGCTGCGGAGCTCCATCTCCCCGAACTCCCCCCTCTCTTCCACTATTTAAACTTGTTAGTTTTTTGACACTTTTTTTAGCACATGCACATTACTTGTGACATACACACGAGTATGCTCAGTTTTGGGACTAGTTGGATATATGATGATTTAAAGGACAACTTAAATAGATTTATAGAGGACATAACTTTATCAGGACCAAAGATGAACTAAGTTTCTAAAAAGAAACATTCATTTAGTCAGCCGCAGACTTAGCAATTATGATAAAATATTTATTTTGCAATTTTTTTTCAGTTCAATTAGCAACATAAATAAATAAAGCTAATCGCTAGCTCATAAAATATAATACATTATTTTAAATCAATATAACAAAAAGATTATAAATATATAAGATTAATTTATGTATTTAAAACTTTAAATTAGGTAATCCCCATTCGATCAGCTCATTGCACAGAGTCTCTCTAGCAAAGTCAGCAGCAAAAGTTGCCGTTATATATAACACGTCTGTCGGTCTGTCTTCGGGTGGTTTCACTGTGTTTTTTTTTTTTGTCGGTGTCGCAGGACATGTTATGCAACTGGAATAAAGGAGCTGAATTTATGTGTTAGCTGGAGGACTGTGCCAGCAGACCCTCTCCGTGCCAATGTGTCTGGCTTTGCAGCGTCAGGTTAAACGGGATTTATGTCCTTCAAGACGTGCAGTCTCAGCCTGTTTTCTTAAAACAATTAACGTATTACGGCTCTCTGCTTTTGGCCTCCTTTTCCCTGCTGCCTGCCAAATCCATCTTTGTTCCGTGTTTGTTTCCCTGGCAGGGAGTGGGCTCCATCGTCCTGATTTGCATTTCCAGCCGAGAGAAGAAGCTGGCTTGGAGGCCCCGGGCCGACAATCAAAGGACTTTGGCTTGGCTTCGCTTGGCATTTTTCTTTAATTACGCCCTCGAGTCAAATTAAAAGCAAATGATAGTTGTCTCCTTTCTCTGACTGTATCCTTTGCCCGACTTTGCTCCTTTCGTTCGTCTGCGGCTCTCCGGGATTTTCCAGTTTACTTAGTCAAATCAAAGCTTTCAAGAAAATTGTTTTCCTTTCTTTCTGATGGTCAAACTGCTGACCAAGGACCAAGTCCTCGACAGTGCTCACACCCATTCCCATACCCTTACCCATACCCACATTCAGGAACTCACACATTCATAGCTCCTTATTACATCTGGACTGCTTTGTTAGCTGCATGTCCTTGAGTGCACTTGAGTCGATGCTTTCGAGTTTGAGGTTTTTGTGGCAAATAATTTGTGTAATTAAGTGACCACCAACTGGCCCCACACCCAGTTAATTGCTTATTTGTGTAGCTAATTAGTTGGGTATTGCCAACAAACAGGGGGAGATGGTCAGGCATCTGAATGCGATGATGATGCTGTCGAGAGTGGCTCAATCCCCAGTCTATAGTCTTCTTTTTTTTGCTCCATTCCCATCAGGCGTTGTCTAGCACTCGTAATTAAAAAAGATCCATAAAAGCGACGGGCAAACACAAAAGTGAGGCACGTGTGCCCCTTATCCCCGGGCTAATGTATCCCCCCCCCCCCTTCTGGATGGCAGGATACTGCACCACTGCGCCTCTGCAACACTGCACCACCAAGCATAACAAGCTGGCGGGGCTGGCGGCGTGCAATCAAAATTATTATAATTGCGACGCGTTCGCCTTTGTGCGACAACAATGACTTCCGCTTCCGTGCTGAAATTCGCCTGTGTCTGCATCTGCTTGTCATTCCATGTGCCATGTACCCACTGCATTGTTTTCAATGGGAAAATGGGGTAAAATGGGAAAACGGGTGGGTGGCAGCAGCGCATTAAGTGCCTGCAAAAGACGAGCAACAAAGTGAACAGCCCAGGGGAGCCACCAAGTGGGGTTGGCTGAAAGATGGGTACAACGTGCTCAAGTCCTGGCAAAATGCAAAGCGAGGGGAGTTAGTATAATGTAGTATAAAGTGCAGCTAGCTCACTGCGAACGGGTACTCACGAAATGACCTGCCCTAAACTGATGCTTCTAAATCTAATCAATCAATCAGGCATTCACTCAATCAGCAACCAAGTCAAACATCGGCCCTTAATGAAATAATTCAATTTGCGCTTGTATTAATTGTGTTGTTATTATGACGACTCTGATTATCCACATTACAACTTTGGCAGGCAGGCTGGCTGTATTAATTCGAACAAAGTTCTGGTCCTGGCCAAGGCGAGTTCTCCACCCGAATGTGATTGGTGGCCAATCAATGAAAGTGCCAGCCACACGCAACGTGCAATTTAATCAGTTTAATTAATAAGCAACATGGTTTGACAGCACAAGGGTTGAGTTGCCCCGGAAATTGAGTGTCATTGTTTGTCATGGGCATAAATAGCAGCGCTGATTGCTGATGCAACATGGTTAATGTGGTTTATGGGGCCAATTCTAAATCTTGGCGCAGGTCTGCCTCTTTAAACGACTTATTAATGGCACTCGAACAGGTCACGAATGGGCTTCATTTGTCTGGCTCTGGCTGATTAATCTAAATGAATTGTTACTGCCGCGTATTAGTCACAATTTCGATCAGCCGCTTTATCAGCCAGTCCGGATCCTTTGCCTTTTGGTCCTGTCCAGTTCGCTTTTCGCCTCTAATTGCCCTGCAAGCGACAGGTAAAGCCTGCCGCGGAAAACCCCTTTTTGCATATTTAGTGAGCCATGTCCGGGGCTTAGCGCTGTGCTGGAAAATATGGGACCACCAATTTCGCTTTGGGAACCCTTTTTGCGGATTTAAAACGCAATCAGTAGTTTCGTGATCGATGGCCATGGACATTAATGGTGCTAAGTGGGGCCATAAAAGCAAATGAAACTGCAGTTGAAGGCGGTCCTAGGAATTATATAAAAATTACATTCATAAACTCGAGTGGCCACTTGACTGCCATATGAATTCGCATAACATACACACACACACGCCGTTCAAGTGGGGCTCTCAGACACAAATATTACAATGGCAGCGAGTACAATACAATAAATCAACGACTCGGGCAAACTCAGCTGCTCGACGGCCTGCTACAAATAAATGCATAAACTTCGAGTGTCAAACAACAAGGAAAGTAGAGGAAAGTGGAGGAAAGTGGGGCACGAGTAAGCAGGTTGAACCGTTCCAAGCCATTTCGCTCGACAGTCAATGAGCTATGAAAATATGGAAAATGTAAGCGACAAAACGTGTCATTCATTGTCTATCCAAAATTTCGGTGAGGGGATACGAGTATGCTGCCATTTGAAGAGGGATTCTGAAATCGGGCTATTTTGTCAGTTTACAAATCACTTTCCATATGCAACTGACTGGTCAACTGGCACTTGACAGGCGTTACGCATACGCAGCGTTGGCCGAAAGGAACCTCAATCACCGCTCATACGCACATCTATGGATGCCATAAATGTTTGCAAACTCATGAAATAATACAAGCACGCATCGATTTAACCTTTACAGGGCGTGGCCCATCCAAAAAAGGGAGGCACAAAGTCTGGCAAAGAGCAGAAATCTGTTGAATATCAAATAACAATCACTTGGCAAGCTAAATATATCATTATGCCTAAGTAGGCGGTCGGGTGAAGAGGGGAGGCAGCAGTTTTGAGGCAGCAACAAAAAGCTTAGCACATGCGAACATGCGAGGCAAAGAAATGGGATCCAACAAAGAGGTGGGGATTTGTTTGCTGCCTTTCTTTTTTTCAGGGGTGGTTGTTTGTGGGGGCTATCCCTTTTCGCTTCCTTTGCCAGCCGCCTTTCTTTGCTACTTTTTATAATCCTCACAGCTTGCATGTTTGCTTAGCACCTTCGAGGGATAGGGAGCGGCCGATGGGTCGATGATGCGGAACAGGTTTAAAAAGTTTAAGCCAGAGAATCCTGTTGTGGCGGTTCCTGTGCGGGGACTCTTCTCGTTTGTTGGGTATTATATATAATACATTTGCAAAATTTACAAATCATCTTGCATATTTGATTTGCATACAAGATTTTTCATCGCCACTGCCAATACCTTGCCAGGGATATCCTCCCGGGTGTTTGTGTGGGTGTCCTTGAGCTCGTTTGTATGTCGCCGAATTGCACAAGAGATTCACAAATTGCTTTCATTGATTGCCGACAATGCCGGAGTGAGTGGAGTGAATGGGGACTTTGTGTGGCACCTTCGGTGGGTGGAAAATTGTGTGAACGGGAGCTCAGAGTGCCTTGACTGCCGGTGGGAATTTTCCTTAAATTTCCGCCAGCTTCTTCTTTTGCGCCGGGAAAAGTTAAACTGCCGGGGAGAAAAATCCCTGGGACACGTTGCGTATGAGTAATGTTTCTGTGGGCCGGCAGTGGAAGAGCCCAAACAGCATTTTATAACTGACCAGATGCTAAGAGCCCGTCCGCGACCAGTTGACCCACTTGATTCCCTACCGCTTCACACTTTAATAAAAAAATGTAACAAAATATTAAGAGCAACGTTTTAAAAATAAAATCTATTAGAAAATTAGACTTTTTTTTTCTTGATTAAATATGTTCTTGATTACGGGCTGTCCACATATTATGTCAAATATCCTCTCTCGAAATATTCAAGTAATCTCTTCCATTTTTAGCATTTTTGAAAAACCCAATTTTTATTACCGGTTTCTTAAAACTAACTTAATTTTTATTTGAGTGTAGTTTCCCTGGCCATTTGTCGTTTGTTGCGTGCCGTGGACGTCTACGTGAAATTATTACGCTGCAATGCATCATCAAAAGTAAACAGCAGCAGCAAAAGCAAAAGCAAAAGCAGCTTGGCACTAGACAGCTTGAGGGATGGGGAGGGGTGGCGGGACAAGGGCGGTACCCAGAAATGTGCGTCTAACATATTGGAGAGCGGCAAGAGCCGGAAAAGTGGAAACTGGACGATGGGCGGCTGGGGGAAACTATAAATTCAGACCAGCACACGCCGCGCACAGCAGGAAGGGAAAAAAAGTACAAAACTGTATTTAAACAGGCGTTTATTTAACCGCTAAACAATGGAAAAAAAACAGATCTAATAAAAAATCGATTGGGATTGAATTCAACATACCCTGTAGAATTTAATTAATATTCAGGCTATCATATGTGTCTAACAGGGATCGAAAGAATTAATGATAAAGATTATAATCTTTACTACATATTTTGTTGTTTATTAACAATTGATTTTTAATCAACATAGAAATATAAAATATACATGTTTAAGTGCAGCAAGAAAAATAAGTAATTTAGGCAAGTCGCAGGTAACAAGGAGGTACGAATGTATGTTGAATGTAAGATTTTCATGCTTGTCGCCCGTAAAACATCGAATTCAATTTTCTCTGTGTTATGGTTTTTAGCATATTAAAAAAAAAATGTACCAATTAAGCAGTTGTCCAGCAATGTAGGGCATATCTTGGAGGCATCAGCAGTTAGCGAGGAGCGGGATGGTGGACATGCCACTAAAATAATTGTTATCCTTGCTTTCTGTGCACAGGCACGTAAAGCCCTTAAAACATGGACAACCAGAGAGAGAGAGAGAGAGATATAAAGAAAGAGAAAGGGAGATGGACAAGAAGAGAGGCTGGAGCAGGCTAAACAACAACGCCACTTCACGGCACGAGCCGTGCTGCAGGAGCTGAAACAATCCTATAAGCAGCACTCAGCGGCACGCACTTGAAGCCCTGAATCCCTGGATCCCTGTATCCCGGGACCCACAGAAGTGGAGAGGTGAAGCTAGGGGAGGGGAGCAGCCTGGGCAGCTAAAACTGCAGTCGCAGCTGGCTGCGAAACCCGGATCCTTGTCTATTTGCTTTGGATGGAGGCGAAGTCGGCGGCGGAGGACACTCCGCAGGACGAGCGCAGCTGGCTCTGCCAAGGCTCAAATTTCGTTGCTACTGCTTATTTATTTTTAATATTTTTATTTGCCCTGCAAATAGGCTGCGGCGGTTTGGCTCTGTTGTATTTACTTTCACTGTTGCGGCATCGCTTTATTTTTGTTTGCCCGTGGTTTTCCGGCAGGGCAAATCTTTGCATTCCAATGCGTTTCAATTAAGTGCTTCGGCTCCTGTTTGGTCACGCAGAAATTAAGCAGCCTGCAGGAATTCCAGTACAAGCGCTATGAGTAAGGTCCGCATAAATCAGCTCTTAAAAGGCAGAGCGAATGTTGGGTACGCCAGGCTGTGTAATTGAAATACAAAGCCAATTTATACAAAACCCGATAAAAGCGGAACTGGCGTCACCGCTGTGGGGAGGTAGAAATAAGGCAGCAAAGTGGCAATCACGCCAATCACGCGTAATAAATCATTGCGTGAGCGAATGTTTCCATGCACCCATTTATACATTTACTTGTTTGCCTGGGTTTTGTGTAGCATTTGGCAGGCCAAACAGGACTTACGGCAGTCACGTGTGGCCGACACACGCAATAAGACCGACCGACTTTTTTATACTCCCCATTTATACCCGCAGAGCAGGGAAACTCCCCAAACACGCACGAAAAGCACAAGTTGACAGCCAAACAAAAGCCGAAAAGCGGTGGTAGCCCATTGAGAGCGATGACAAACAGCAATTAAAAAGCCAAAAGGCTTCAATTAATCCTTGACCTCTTGAAATCGAAGCAAAGCCAAAGCCAATGCCACAACCTGCTGACCAAGTGAACGACTTTCTTACAGAGAGAAAGAAAATTGAGGAAAATCAGTTTTGCATTTGTGCATGTTTAGTTCTTGGCAAACATTTTTGGCAGCATATTTTTTCTATAGTAAAACATCTTTGTACAATATACATATGTATTTTGTAAAAAATAATAAGATACATTTTACTCTTAAACCAATTTTTTAACTAGAAAGATTCTTGGAAATGGAATTTTTGGTTGCTTAGAGATGCACATTTCTGAGTATTATATATTTCAGTACTATTAATTTTTGATTAAAGAGTAACACATACGCTGGCAATGAATTACAAATTTTTAAAACCATTAGCTAATTACTCTAAGCTTGAATTTCTCAAATATTGGTTTTTTGGATGCTTTTATGAACAAGATATTTTCTTTAACAAGCCTTTTTGTTTGTCAGTGGTGTTAAGTGAGAGGAATGCCTCAGCAAGTTCTTACGTACATCGCCCTTATCATTAGGCAAACCAAACTTGTGGGCCACGCCTTCCACAGCCCACAGGGCCCACATCCATTATCTTGAGCAAGCAGCGCGTGTAATTTTCAACCTGTAATTGGTGTAATTGAGTGCAAGTGCGGAGAAAATATTCAACATGCCAGCAATTAACATAAATTCTCCGCTACGCGTACAAAAATAAAATAAAAAAAGTGAGACGCGGGCAAATGATAATGAAAGAAGGACTAACACACACACACACACACCCATCGGATAGGTTGGGGAGAGAGGGGAGGGGGGAGGGGTGGAGATAAGCAAATGGCCGCCATTCTGTGAAGCGTTCATAATTGCCCGCGTTGTCGACGGTGTGTTGGTGTGTGTGTGTGTGGGTGTAAGGACTTCAGGGAGGCTGTGTGGGTGTGGGGCGTGACAAAATGCAGCCAGGGATTTTATAGAAAGGGTAGCATACTTACATGCGCAGCGGGCTGAGCCGGAACCGTCGGCGGAAGTAGTTTATGTTAATGACAGACCCAGCATTTCTCTTTTTCCATTTGCCAGTCGTCGCCATTTTCTCACTTACACTCCTCTTTTTGTATCCTTGCAGGAATCGAGGGCTTCCAGCGGTTCTCGGAACAGCCCAAGTACACGGAGGTGAATCCCGCCGAGGACACGCTGCTCACATGCAAAGTTATCGACAAACGCGGCACGTGCTCCTGGCAAAAGGATAACAAGGTAATTATATCCGCTCACCGGGCCCATCTATCGATGGCGCCAGTTTATAAACATTTTGATTAAACTCATAACTTGGCCCAAAGTCTCACCAAACACAACCAGCCGAACTTTATTCGCACACTAACACACAAACACACACACACCGACGTGTCCTGGCTAGAAAACTCATATCATATGCGTGGCGCGTCCTGCGGTTCAATTAAGTGTTGTTCTTTTGGCCTCCACATGTGGCGAATGTAATTTACACCCTGACCAGGACGAGTCAATAATGAAAGTTGCCCGTGGACAGAGGCAGGGGTCAGGGGTCACAGGACCTGGGAACAGGGCCCCAGACAGCCTTTCTTTGTTTCACCGTTGATTAGAACAGCGGCCGGCCCAACTTTTAATCGAAAGTGCGTGACAGCAGAGGAGCATTGGATTTCATGCCCTCGCAAACACGAAAATATCACCAGTATAATGTTGTTTAGCAGTTGATCCTAGAAAAAATAAACGTTTTTATTTTAATTGATTCCTTTGTGCTGTCACTCGGCGGCCACTTTATATAGCAGAATATAGGTAAATAAATGTGTGATCTATACACATAAGCTCGGTTAACTTGCAAATTGCATGTTTCAAAAACTTCCATAATGTTTTATTTGTTTTAAAAATATATTAAATGTAATAAACAAATTCAATCCAGTTTAAAATATTGAAACAACATTTTTCATATCAAAAGAGTCTTTGTTAAATGTAACATGGCTATTTTACTCGCCATTTCTTGATTTTAGTGTTCAATATAAGTATGAGATATAAAGACGCCTTGACTTATAAATGGTGGTCATTTGTTATGGCCATTGTGGGCGGGAAGTTGATCCAAAATCTTGAATGACTTCGTTTGCATACCAATCCAGAGTGGCCTCATTATGGATACGCTCCAGGCGCAGGCAAGCGGGAATATGTTGGTGCCGTTTGTTATTCAGGGCAATTGTGTGCGTTTGAAGCATAACTTTTATTTGCCACCCCCTGCAGTGTCTCCGCTCCCCACTTGTTGTGGTAGTTGCTTATGCAAATGCACAAAGGGACTTTAGAAGAATGGGGGGGAGAGACCCCCGTCCGAAGCCATAGTACGACAAAAATCAGAAAGCATTTCAAATGTCCTTTTTCATATGCTGCGCATCGCAAACTCTCGCTCTGCATCACATACTTAAATGTTTACATGCTTTGAGTCTCCACTCGAATAAGTTGAAGGAAGCGAAAGGACGAAGGACGAGGGTAAACAACATTTGCATGCATCGAGCGTCTCACACACACAAACAAGCTGATGTTGCTGTTTCGGGCTTCATTTAAAATTCTTCCTATTTTTGCATACTTATTCCACTTTCCTCCTCTTTTCCTATGTGTGCTTAACGTTTCCCAATTTCCTCCATTTGGGTATATATAGCTCTGTCCATATATTCTACGTGTAGTTATCATAAGAACCGACATTTCGAATCGTTTGTCCCAAAAAAAAAAAAGGGGAGACATAGCTGTCCATTCCCGAGCTGCATTCTAATTTAGCCAAAAAGGATGTCTGTAGAAAAATTTTCAATTCCATTCAAGCCTCATCTGTGTTTTCTTTGCAGTGCATTTGCTGATAATTCCAAGGCACAAATGGAGTATAATATCAACAACCAAGCTCAGTCATTTGAATAAATGTAATTTTTGGGCATCGCATATTTTTATCGCAAACATACAAAACGAAGCTAAAACTCCGGAGTTTCCCCCTCAACTTTTTTGCTTGCAGTTTCCGAGTTTGAAGTTGGAAAATGTGGAGAATTATGCCGATTCAAATATCGATCGAAGAATGTTTTGGCAGCAATAGCTGCATCAATGGGCCAGAGCCAAATATTTGTTCGGTTTCGGATTTTTTATCTCGTAGCCGAAATTGTTTTTCTGGCAGTTTGGCAGCTCGGTCTTCTATTGAGCTCATATCTTTTGTTGCCGCAAAGCCGTTCAAACTTAACTTAACCCTCGGTGACCAGCGACCAGCCATTGATTATTCCCTGTGGCCAAGGGTCAGTGGAGTCAAATGGTATAGTATCTCGTACATCTGACATTTACTATATGCCAGCCGCAAGCTGTTTAATAAACCAGAGATACTGTATTTTATGCTGGCCGGCTAGTCATCTCAAGGTAGCCAGATGCATGTCGCACTTTATTTTATCTGCTTTGGTTGGACAAACAAAATGCATTTGTGGCCATTTCCGTAAATTTAAACACTAAATATCAAATGGCAGCACAACAAAGATTAGATTATGCTCTGGCATTTCCTTTCGTTTTCTTTCAATAAATTTGAATGCTAGTTTTAAGCGATTGTTTGTCCATGGCACAAATTCAATGTAGCAATTAATTTAACCCATTACGCCACGGACAACGCAGACAACACTCAAAGCCGAAATGCAATTAGGCAGCTCCGTTTGCGGGGGTTTGGGGGTCCAGTTCCCATAAATACTTAAATGCGAACGATGCCACGCTCAGAGATCACTAATTGTAATTTAATTTCCAATTAGCAAACAAACTAATGCCAATTTACAGGCAGAGGCGACTGAAGCGACGACTGAAAATGGAGTTAAATGACACGTAGTGGTGGGCGGAATGGCCGGCTGATGGAATTTGGGGCGGTATTTTGGGTAAAGGCCACCCCCTGTGCTCCTGTGCTCCTCTACTCCTGTCCATCTGCTCGCAGATTTGTCTGTGGATGTTTGGCCAAATTGGAGACCAAATTAGACGCCTGACTGCATCGAAAAGTTAAACATGCTAAACATGTCGTAGACGACGCCCAGTTCATTTCAACGCCATCATCGTTTTCATCCCTATCCATATCCTTCCCCCGTTTTATTGAACACAGAGAATAAATTATATAAAATCAATTTGTTTATTGACTATTTTCTTATCTTTTAGGCGTTATTAAAAAATTTTTTTTAATCTAAGAATCGTATTAAAATAGTTTTAAAATGTTAAACTAATTCAATGACAAAACCAATCGATCAATGGGATTTTTTTGGTTTTTATTCGATTACTAAGCACAGCCTGATAAAAGTTTTTCATAAACATTTAATGCTTCTACAAAACATTAAATTATTGTTGTTTTTTGTTTGCTTATCATAACAATTTTTTTAATTTTTAAATATAATTTGTTAGTTTGAAATACTACTATTTTGATAGTTTTTTCTCCGTGTATAACTAACACAATCCATTTCTTCACCCCCAGCCCGTTGGCATCTATACCAAGAAATACGAATGGGCCTCACGTATGCCGACGAGCGACAATGGGAATGTCCTGCATCTGGACCTCCATCCGCCGCCGGTGCAACTTGGCGGGGACTGCTCCCTGTGGATCCGCTCGGCCACGCTGGACTTCGACGACGGACTATGGGAATGCCAAGTGACGGCCAGTGATTTCACCACCCAGGATGCCCTCACCAGTCAGCCGGTCCGCCTTGTCGTACGTGGTAAGTGCCAGTGACTCGAATCGAGTGAAGGGCCATCGCCATCACACAGAGCCCATGCAAAATGCCCCTCAATCCACCGTTAATCCTCGAGACTTAATTGCCAAGGACACTCCCCTTCTGTTTGCAGTGGCGCCGCAGCGGCCGAGGCTCGAATACGAGGCGGTACACGTGCCGCCAGGACACAACATCACCGCAGACGCCGGCGCATTGGCGACGGTCAAGTGCGTCTCGCATTACGGCAATCCGCCGGCCACCCTCAAATGGTTTTTGGGTAAGTGGCGAACCTGCATTCCTCCTCCTCACCACTCTCAACAAAATTGTTGTCTTTAAAAACGAGATAGGGTAAATGGGCATTAAGCCCTGAGAAAATTGTCGTTGAATTAATACCAATTTGAACAAGAAAGAAAAAACACTTCGGCAGGCCAAAGTTTATGCACATCCTAAAAATTACGATAAATCGACTCAAAAAAATACAAACAAATCTGAAAATGCAGATTTTTAGAGAATTAAGCCACGATCATTTAGAAGTAAGCCACTTTGAAATCGGATGTCTGTAAGAAAAGTTATGGGCTTAGAAGTGCAGGTTTTAGGTCACTTTTCTGCAAAGCTATTTTTCGAAAATTTGGAAAGGGGTTACATTGTAAAAATGACTAAAAATCGATCCAAAAATAAAAAAAAGTTAAGTACACAGATTTTTAGAGAATTAAACCAGGATCATTTAGAGGTATGCCATTTTAAAATCCGATTTCTGTAAGAAAAGTTATGAACTTAGAAGTGCAGTATTTGGACACTTTTCTGCAAAGCCATTTTTCGAAAATTTGGAAAGGGGTTTACATTGTAAAAATGACGAAAAATCGACCCAAAAATAAAAAGTAATTTTAGAGAATTAAACCAGGATCATTTAGAGATATGCCATTTTAAAATCCGATTTCTGTAAGAAAAGTTATGGGCTTAGAAGTGCAGGTTTTAGGTCACTTTTCTCACTTTTCCAAACTATTTTCGAAAATTTGGAAAGGGGTTACATTGTAAAAATGACTAAAAATCGATCCAAAAATAAAAAAAAAGTTAAGTACACAGATTTTTAGATAATTGAACCAGGATCATTTAGAGGTATGCCATTTTAAAATCCGATTTCTGTAAGAAAAGTTATGAACTTAGAAGTGCAGTATTTGGACACTTTTCTGCAAAGCCATTTTTCGAAAATTTGGAAAGGGGTTTACATTGTAAAAATGACGAAAAATCGACCCAAAAATAAAAAAAAGTTAAGTACACAGATTTTTAGATAATTGAACCAGGATCATTTAGAGATATGCCATTTTAAAATCCGATTTCTGTAAGAAAAGTTATGGGCTTAGAAGTGCAGTATTTGGACACTTTTCTGCAAAGCCATTTTTTTTTTGGAAAGAGGTAACACTGTAAATATGACGAAAAATCGACCCCAAAATAGAAACCGAGTTGAAAACACAGATTTTTAGAGAATTAAACCACTGTCATTTAGAAGTATGCCACTTTAAAATCGGATGTCTGTAAGAAAAGTTCTGGGCTTTGATGTGCAGGTTTTTGGTTTATTTTTTTCCTTTTAATGTAGAAATTTAAGCGGAAACGTTGTCAAATTTTGTTGAGTGGAGTGTGGGGCATAATCCCAATGCAGTTGTTATCCGGCGGTAGTTGTTAATGTTAATTAATTCCCATTCCCTGCTCCAATTTCTCCCCCAGGCGACCAGGAGATATCGGCCATCCACCCGCAAATGAATGCCACCGAGCCGGATAATCCACGCACCTGGTCGGCCACCTCGGTGGTGCAGGTGTCGGCGATGCGGGAGCGCCACGGAGATATCCTGCGGTGTGCCGCCCACCACGAGTCCTACACGGCCAAATCGGTGGTGGTGGAGGCGCGGCTGGACGTGAAATGTGAGTGTTGCGATAACGATACCGATAGCGATACTGCACCTGCATCCCAAAGTGCCGCCTTCATTTGATTTGGCTTTAAGTCCGGGTGCGGGCTAACTGCTAACTAAACACAGACACAGCAGACACAGCGAAATCAGAATCCTAATACGAATCGGAGACTGAGAGCTGTAACAATTAAATTAACAACAATTTGCTGTAATTTCCTGTTTTGCTGAGCAATTCAAGAGTTGACTTGTCCCAAAGGAGCAGGAGCAGGACTTGCCCGGCTTGTTGACTCTGTTTGCTCGACTGGCATTGCTGTTACTGTAGTTTCTATTGCTGTTTTTGTTTTGTTTCGCCAAACCAAGTTGAACGTCTCCGTTTCTGTTTTCTGTTTCTCCACTGTGCTTTCTTGCAGACGCGCCGAGCATCCGTCTAATTGGCTCGCCGGAAATCGACTTGGAGGAGGACAAGGATGCCCTGGTCCTGCGCTGCGTGGCCGATGCCAATCCGCCGGCCAGCATCGTCTGGCGGCGAGCAGGTCGCTCCGAGATAGCCAGCTTGCAGGTGAGCCAACCCACTCCTTCTTGTTTATGTTGTTCCAAAATTGTTTCCCCACGCCGGGTATTTATCTAAAGTGAAGCAGAAATTTGTAATTGTATTAAATTGCCTGCTGATCTGCGCCTCCTTTCCCCTTTTCCCACCATTTTCCCACCGACAGGAAACTCTGCAATTGCGTCCCGTCGGACGTCGCGATGCCGGATTGTACACCTGCCAGGCGCAGAACTCGGTGGGCACCTCGGAGCAGCTGTCGGTGCAGTTGGATGTGAAATGTACGTATCCTACTATTTACTTTGGACAAAGTTTTCAACGAACTCTGCTTTATTCCGTCCCCCATCCCCACTCCCCCTCCCAGATGCACCCAAAATTATTTCAGCTGGCCCAGATCGCCTCACCACCGCCCCTCTTTTCAGTCCGGCCGCCTTTGAGTGCCTGGCTGATGGTAATCCCATGCCATCCTTCAAATGGGTACAGAGGTGAGTCCATCGACACATATATACACCGGGGGCAATTTGGGTACTATAAGGGGTTATTTCTGGCTAATTCATTTACAGAAATCACTAGGATTTTTTTACCCCTTATAAAGGTGTTCTAAAGTATGCAGCCGTATATTTTAAATACGGAAGTCCGATTGACTCGATTTCGAAAGAAATCTTATTCCACTGTTTACTTAAAGACACCCTTATAAATTAAATAAAACAAATATTTTCAGAAAATGTTCTTTTACTAGAAACACTTTGATTAAGAGGATGAGACCAGTTTCCACGAAAGGAAATCATATAGAATACATTATTTTCTTCTGAGAATTTCTGCTAAGAAGGATTGGGGGCTATGAATTATGACTGTTAAATGACTTAAATATATTCTGCTTCTTGGAAAGCCTTTTTTTCTCAGTGCTCATAAAATTCCGAAGATATTTTACTTGCGGTCGCTACCGCTAGAGTTCTTCGGCAGTTTGAGTTGCATACTTTTGGTGGCCTCTTCTTGATTCCGTTGGAAACTTAACTTATCTTGCCCTAAATTTCATAGCCCGGTGGTAAACTCTTCTGGTCCCGAAACTGTTTATTGTTTGTCGGCTGAATAGCGGCGCTAATTAAACTAGAATCATTCTGCGTATGCGCAATTTTTGTCTCGCTTTATGCTTTAATTGGAAGAGTTTAGTATACCTTGCAAGGAGTTTTATTATTAATGCTGCTTTTCCCGAAAGAACAGCATTTTCCTCTTACGTGAGCAGGTTTCCTGTTGCACATTTCCGTTTTATACGGCGCCGCGCTCATTGCTGATATTATTTCGCGTAATTTTAATTAGCTGCTCGGCGGAAATTGTCTGAACCAAGGGAAAACAACAAGGAATAAGGCCTGCTTTTGACATACTATTACTGGTGTACTCTGCAATTTTTCATTGTAAATAGAGATGAAGTAAGCTGATATAATAAATTACTAATTTATTGCAAAGAGCTGTTATGAAATAAGCTTTTAAAAATAGGATGACTATTTTCTATGATTTTGAGGCCAAAATTTATACCATTCCATTGTGGGTTCCATCGGTTATATCCAACTCTGTTAGGGTAGCAAGAAACCATACATAATGCTGGCAGGATTAGGCTCCTTCCGTTTCTCCTTTCGTCGTTGATGGCAATGTGCATTAGTATGCAAAGCAGGCAAATTCTGTGGAAAAATCGAAACACTCCTCATGCATATGACTTTGCATAGCTCCCTCTCTCTCTCTCTCATTCTCTCGGTGGCATCTTTCCGTCTCTTTCTGGCCCCTAGAGCTCTTTGACGCTGCCACGTAAGTACGTGATTTTTGTGATTCCATTTGTTTGCACTTGCCCCCAGACAATCGGGGCAGCATAAAGCATACGCAGCCACGCCAAATCGTGATCGGGCGAACATATAGGATGTGCGATTGGGAATGGTTGTTATGCGAAGGTGTCGCCATCTAATAACGAATGCCACATGCAACACATTGACGTGTTGACTTAATGAAGCGAATGCGCGCGTGTTTATCAGAAATTAAATGTCAATTGTTGAAAACTAATTTCCACGCATGTTCTCCAAACATACCACCACCCACGCCACCACTGCCCACTCCACCACCCATCGAATTAAATGGCGCGTGCCGCACTGGGTAAACAGCGGGAGTCGCCCATTTGGGGCAACCATTTTGGGGCAATAAATCAATGCCACGGAGTGCGCCGCTGACAGGCCAAGCGACGTATGCTCGGCAGCTCCTTAATCTCCACCTCCCAGGTGCTGGTGTCCTTGGTGTCCTTCAACTGGGCTGCAAGTGCAACTGGCCTGGGCGGACGCCTTGCAAATGAGCTACCCAAGGACACGACACAGGACACGGAGTCCTGTCACTTTGATTTACGTGATTTCACCGCACTCCCCCCCGGAACTTGGTCGAGGAATGGAGAAATAAAGAAATGGAGAAATGGATCCAAAACGAAACGAAACGAAACGGAGACCGCTTGCCAAACTTTTTCGACTTCGGAGATTTGCATTTGAATGGCTTTCTAATTTATTGCTTTTAATTGCTGGCTACCAAGGACCGCCTTAAAGATCCTTGCTGCCACTTTAAGCGCCATCTCGATGAATGTATTGGTTGGCTCGGGTTTTTTTTCCATCTATCTGCTGCGGCTGCCTCAAAAGAATCTGTGGAGAGCTGGGGCCAAGAGCATTTCGCAGCCTGAAAGGCATTTCTCATATTAAAAATGTATCAAATATTTCTGTGAGCCAGCTCTTTGGCCCACTCGTCTGTGAGTCCGGGCATCCTGCACCGAAAAATAACTCATACGCATACGCAATTTTCAATATTGCCAAGCAAGGATTGCAGCAGCAGCCACGCAGGACATTTGGGAGAAGGCAGGGAATCGGGTTGTTGGGAAGGCTGGCCTCTGCCGAATGCATCAGTTTCATTTTGCTCAAAGAGCAGACTGCAAAAATCTGCACCACGCCCACAGTCCGTGACCAGATGGAATCCTTATATTAGTTGCACATAATCATAACCAATAGCTGCCCTCTTCCAATGTAGATATCGCCCACTCCTTTTTATGGGTTAGAAGCGGTATAAATCAGATATTTGTTGTCAGTTTTAGAAACCCTATCACATAATTAATATCATGCTTAGTACCAGTACAAAAGCAAAAATCACCAACTTTAAACATTTCCTTTCGTTCTCTTTTGAAATTCGAGGAGAAACAACAAAGGCTAATAAGAGTTTTTGGATTAAATTAAATAATCGAAGGCTTAATTGTGCTTTCAAATGGCACTTACTAGGCATCTTATTTCAACACTGATTTCCCCAATTTACCTTGCAGAATGGCCCATGGATCCAAGTACGTGGAGCGGGGCTCGGAATCCAGATTGGTCATCGACAACGTGACCTACGAGTACCAGGGCGAGTACGAGTGCCGTGCGACCAGCTACATCAATGGCCAGGAGCGGGTGGCCATATCCGATCCGGTGTCGCTGCAGGTTGTGGGTAAGTTGCTATCTGCAGAGCTTGCTGCTGCTGCTGCTGCTGCTGCTGTGCTTGTGGTGTGGCCATAAAAACCGCAGAGCCACAAAATATGACGACAACACGGCATGGCTGGAAACATGCATTTCTTTTTCCCCCTGACACGCACCGAATCCTCTTGCTGCCAGAGAGAGGCACTGCCGTAAGGATTTGCCAACGGACTCGCCGGAAAGAGTATCACGGACTAAAGAACGAACCATGTTTGCGGTCATAAATCTGCATTCCACCTCTCTTTTGGCTTTTTTCGATGTCAATTTTAGCCCGGACTGGGAATGGAAACCAGTGTCATGGAGATGACCAGCATAGCCACAGAGAAGGTGACAACGCAACCGGACAACCGGAAAAAAAAAGAAAACCTATTCCTCCTCGGGCTACTCATTTAAGTCCGCAGCTCCCGTGCAACTAATGCACACTTAAAACAACTAACAAAACTCCATTAAAAGCTGCAGCCGGAAAGCGCCTGCAAAACATTTTAAGCGCTTGCCTTGCCACCTCCTCGTCGCTGCCCCCCTAAATTTTCCTCACATTTTCCCTCCGCCATGGCCGTACAATTTCGCGGTGGCTGGCAACTTGCAACTGGCCAACGGACTAAACCAAAACGTAACACAAAATCAAAATGAACTTATGACCGCAGCGCCAGCGGAACAAAAAAATGGAGCTGCAACTGCCGAGAGCGAAAAACTGGACAGCCAACTAAGGGGGAAAAAATAGAAAGAACTCTAAAAAAAGAGCGGCAAGAAATATTTAAATTTAGTGCTGAATACCACAGCACGTACATAATTTATGACCAACCAAGGACACGAGCAATTTAGCAGAGCCAGGGACCAAAAAAAAAATGCACAAAAATAAACATGCACACGAACAATATACATAATACACAAAAAAAAAGTCCTCACCACGTTTCTACATATTTACGTGTATGTATGTGAGTGTCGAGCTAACAAACTAACTAACCAACTACGACAGCATGCCAGGGTGTCAAAAAAAAGAAAGAAAAAGCTACAGTTTCTCATTATATGAAAAAAAAGATATATGTATTTTTTCTTAATTAACCCACACCAACCTAAAATTAATTCAAATCAAAAATAATTACCAGTGGCTCTAAAGGAAAAAAATAAATATAAATCTAGATTGTAACAACATATTTAGAGTAAAAGTAAACTTTTGATTAAAAAGAACATTTCTCCAACAAATTGAAATTCCCCAATTTTTCTACAAAATTTAGTTAAATTGCAACCCGTTTGAAAATGTTAGCCAATGGATTTAAAAGTATATATTTTGCTGTTAAAGAAAGGGTTCCTTTTAAATGTTACTTACTGATCCGAGATACTTACACCTTAAAGGCATTTGAAATGGACAGGACAGAGAGCAGACAGAACCCTTTAACCACTCAATATAATTATCTTCGGCAGTGCGGCTCGGCGAATGCGTTGCACCACACCAACTCAATTAAAAAGTTATCTGGCCGGGCTAAACGCGACTCCTTTATGCATTTTTCACCTTGTTTCCTTTGTCCTTGCAGGTGCCCCGCAGGTCCTGCGCCTGCATCCCTCCCGCCACACCGTCTCCGTGAAGCGAGGAGAGGCGGCCAGTCTCACAATGGTCGTCTGCGCGGATCCGCGGCCACAACGCGTCGCCTGGGAATGGGGCTCGCTGCGTCTGGAGGCCGGCTCGGGCATCGGTGCGTATATTTGTTTGATAGGCAGTTGCCCATCCGCCCCATTGGCCCGCTAATGGTAATGCAATTAGGCGCTGGACTTAGTTTTGCCTACTCTGAATTCAATTAGCGCCGCTTTACAGAATGCAGGATGTTGGCTCTGCCCGCTCGAGGGCTCATTAGATTAACTATTCCCGCAAAAACGTTCGGCACTGAACAATCGCGATTCGCGAGTCGGGCTGTTCCGCAAATCAAGACAAATTACATGACCGAACGGAGTCAGAGTCGGACAAGAAACTGCCAGTGTCATGTTGGCTGTGGGAAAAGGGGTAGAGTTGGGGTAGAGTTGGGGTCGAGCAAGGAGGATGCCTCGAGCAGACTTCCCACGCCTGTCAGCCGCCGGTAATCCGAGCTTCAACAGACAGGCAACACACACCCCACCCACCACAGCTCATTTTCCAGCTGAAACTCTTTTCGGATGAACATCCGGCAGCAGTTGCAGCTGCATCGCTTCATCTCGTCCATTCCACCCATCCCATGAACTTGAACGGCATCTTTATCCACCAGTGTTGGCAATTGTTGCCAACTATTGATTGTCAGCATTAAATCTACCTGGAAATTATATATATATATAGGATATTAAATATCACATTGCTAAAAAAAAGCTGGAAGAAAAGTTTTTTAAAATAAAGAAATTCTTATAACTTGTATTTAATTTAAAAATAAGGAATAGCAGTCTTTTCAAAGTCGCAAAATTACAAATACTAAAATTAATTGTGATATATATTAAATATTAAATTAAAATTATATAAAATATATATTACAAATGTTAAAAATGAAGAGGAAACTTATACAGCAAAATATTATATTAAACATTTTTTTGTAGTGAGAGACACTTAAGTCTAGCAAGATATATTTGATCCGTTCAAGTTTCCCTAAAAATAGCTAAGTTGGCAACACTGGTGCTGGGTCGGTGGGTCGCATTATTCTTCATTTTCAGCTTGTCTGCCCGTGTCCATCCTTGGTCGTCCTTCGTGCGTGTAATCCTGCGTGCTCTCACTGCGACTGACACAAATCAAACGGAGCGCATTCCCGACCAATCCGTTCGCCTTTCCTCCGCGTCCAACGCTAGTTAGCCCATCGAATCGAATGATTAATGTCGGACGCCGACAAATTGTGTGCAATTCTAGTGCAATTACTTAGCCCACGAAAGTCAATTCGGCTTTGGAGCAGTAACAAGAACTCACCTTGCTTTTTTTTCACCCCCCGCAGATCGCTTCCGGGCCGACGACATGCAGCCGGACACCCGCGAGGACTGCTACCTGTCCACCCTGCACATCCTCCACCCGGACGAGCACGACTCCAGGCCCTACTATTTGGTGGTGGAGAACGAGCGGGGCACCGATCGCCATGCCATACACCTGATTGTGGAGGGTACGTTTGCAGGTGCATAGACTTTTCTTTGATTTTCTTTACCCCCACCCACATTATCCCAATACACACTTAAGTTACATATTCCATATCATATAACATTTAAGAATATTAATCTCACATATCTATAATAATTTATGTGGTAACTAAAATAACCACTTCTGTTGATAATAATTATATATTTTAAATACTCGTTTATATATATATCAGTTTAATTAGGTTGACTTTAATCGGACTCTTTAACTGAGTTATTTCCCCTTTTCAAAATTTGTAATCCATGTAAAAACAATAGCATTATAAATAATTTTATAAATTTCAAGTATTTAGGCAAACGTTAAAAAATAAATACAAATGGAATGTGACATGAATCAAATTTCTATACAAAAACTAGAATAGAAATTGTTTGAATATAAATAAAATTCCTGTCACATTCCATTTAAATTCTAAAAAGGTACTTTTAAAAAAAAATATAAAGCTCATTGGTCTAGAGAACACATGAACATTAAGCGTAACCATATCCCTTGCATCGCATCCCAGCGCTTTTAATTAAAATCAATACCACGTGCAATACATGTATTGCATAAAATATCTTGTGCATATGAAAATGAAAATTCCCCTTAATGCTTGCATAATCGACACCACCACCACCACATCGAATACCAATCCGTGTATCGAAACGTATGGAATTTCCGGACAGAACCCTACGAGATGAGCTATCTGATGGGCGTGGCCGGGGGCTGCATGGCTGCCATACTTTTGCTGGTCTGCCTTTGTATCTATGCGATCAAGAGCAAGAGATGCTGCTTCAAGGGTAAGTTGAAATACGGTGGAGAGGAGGAGGGGTGCGAACATTTCCTCCGAAAAACCAGATCCTTACCATCATCGGGCCCGTATTAATTGCACTGACGGTGCCGTCAAGGCCGCGACAATTAAAACTTCCTCCTTGATTATGGCGCCTGTTTTACCCCACAAAACCACCCCCCTACCACCCTCCCCCCGCAGGCCGCTGTCACACTAATTGCAAAAACACAAAAACTTGCCAGCTCACAAAGCATTGAAATGCGAGAAGGAGGCGGTCATGGCGGAAAAAATGGCTGCCAGGATGGATGCGTCTCTTTTTCGCTTTGTGTGTGTGTTGTGTTGGCTCTGTTCTTTTTTTTCGCCCAGCCATTCTCCTTGAAACTCGAAACTCAAATAAATCTCATAAAATATTCATTAGCGTCCAACGCCTGCGGTCAGTCTCCGTTTCCTGTTTGCCCCCTGCCAACCCCCTGCGCACACAAAAGGGTTAAGGGTTTCGAGTCAGCTTTTTGTTAGCTGCTGCGCCAACATTTTCATCTCTACGCCTTTCTGCGGAAAAGAGCTTTAATCCAGTTCGCGCACTGCCTAATTAGAAATCAAAACGCAGACAAAAAGCGGTGGAAACTTTTTGCAATTGTAAAACAATTTGCAAAAGAGCAAGGGAAACTTTGGCATTGCTGAAGGACATTTGAGCCATTCCTGCACACATCTGTAAACACTTTACAGGCTGAGCCCCAGCCACCTAATCGCAATTTCTCAGTTGTCAATCGAGCTGTCAATTTGACTGCTTGACGGGCTGACTGAATGCTGCAGCTGGCTTCCAGAGTTGTCAAATACCGTTTGACAGATCTCTCAAGTGCGACCCGATACTATAGCAAATATATCTCTCGAGCTGGGAAGCCTTCACCCCTTCGATATCCATCAAAATTAGCAAGCACCTCCTCGGGAATTTACACGTTCCTCGCAATCAATAAGTCCTTGGCTCATTTATCAAGGCTGCAAGGGCGAATTTGAAAATAGAAAAATACATATCTGTCTGTCTGTCTAGCTGTCTGTTTGTAAATTGCCAGCGGTATTTTCACAGCTAATTTCTTCTATTCTACAACCAGACACAGCCACCACACCCTTCAAAGAATAATGGGTGGAATTTATATTCCTGAATATTGCAAGCTCTAATATGAAACCTCACCTTTCTCTTTCCTTTCACTTCTCGCATGGCACAGGTTCCACGGGCTATAAATCATCGGATAAAGACAGGTAAGTTGAAGCGTAATACGTACACACCCTTTCCCTACCAACACATACACACGCTCACGCGCTCACACATACACTCACACACAGAGAAAGGACAGTAGATAAATGACCATTTTGATATATTTTTATGCAGCCGCATCCTGCAGCCAACAGGTGGCGCTGGCGTGCCAATTTATGCACCCCTACTGGCCGAATACAGGAACTCACTCGCATACGTAGAGCATTGGAACAATGAAAAATGTTTTCCACCGTGTGTGTGTGTGTGTGTGTGTGGGACATAAAATATTATACATTTTTCATTTATTCAATATGCACCGACGAACGAATATTTTTGTTTGTCCAAGAAAAAGCTGAAATACCCTTTCAAAAGCGGAAAAAGTAATCCATGTTTGAAAGGGATTAGTTAATGGAAAAAAATATTTCTAGAGCATCAACGATATAAAATTGTAAAAGTTAAGCCACAACATTTCATAGCCAAACATTTAAGTTTTTTCATAACGAAGTTGGTTTGATTGAGACTTTTACTAGGGTTTAGTGAGGACTTTTACAAAAGGTATATTTTTTGATATTTAAAAGTTAAAGAGTTTTACCATTCTATATTTGCCCGTCCGACTGTACCAACAAAAATATCTCCAAACTATAAGGGAAATATAAACATATTGTTAAAAGTAGTATAATACATATTAGAATCAATAACACTTATAAGAATCTTTCAAATGCTGTATACCCTTTAAGTCCGAAGGGTATGTGAATAATGCTTTGTTTTCCAATAGCAGCATATCGGAAAAGAGGGGTACAACCTATAGCTCATTGTTGTTGCTCTCCGTGCAAGCTCTCACCCAAAAATATGAGTTATGGGCGGTTGTTTGGCCATTCGCCTCTTTCCAACCTTTGGTTCCTCTTGTTTAGGAGTTTAAAATTGCTATGTTTTGTTTATCAAACTATGCACAAGCCAGTTCAAAGCCCCAATGAATGGATCAATATGAAAAAGGGAACGGAAATGGGTTTAGAATTTCCGCTTCAAGTACATTCTGAACACATTTCCACAAATTCGTTTTGTAGGCTCATCTCAAGAGTGAATTGATAGAGGGGAGTGAAAGGCAAGGGAAATATCTAATTTCCTAAACCCCAAGTAAACAGTGGCCTGCGGCGAGGCGAGGCAGCGACAAAAACTAAATAGATATTCAGATATGCGTGAGGGATACAATTTGCCAATCAGCGATAGCAGCCAAAGAACCACCCAACCACTTAGCCACCACCCACACAATTGTCACTTGGGCAAACAATTTTCGATAACGATTTGGTCTCGCCTCTTCTCTTTTCCTGTCTTTGCCCGCAGCGAGAAAGCTGATTTGAAATCACGCTCGGATAGCACGAGTGGCCCTCAAGGTGATTCGATTTACACCACGCCCGCGGGCTTCCATCATCACCAGCAGCAGCAGCAGCAGCAGCAACAACAGCAGCAGCAGCAACAGCAGCAGCAGCAGCAACAACAGCAGGCAGCGGCGGCAGCAGCAGCCGCTCTACACGCCGCATCTCAACATCCGCAGCAACAGTATCCGGGACATGGATCGCCGGAGGCAATGAAGGTACGCATGGCTGCAATGATATTACAACCGCCCACTAGGGTCTAGCAGGCAATTGACACCAATAACAGCGAATCCAAGACGCAACACGAACTAACTAACCAACAGACGACACCGAACGAACAGCAACTGGATGACAGTAGTAATGTAAGCCACAATAATAACAACCACAAAATCAGTTCCACATCGACGACTACTGCCCTGACCAATAGCGATAACAACAACACCTCAGAGGTGTTGGCCAAAACCAGTAGCGACAGCAGCAACAACAGCAACAGTGAGGGCAATAGTTCGCTGACTAGCAGCAAGAGTAGCAAGCGGGATCTGGAGAACAATATGAATAGGGAGATAAAGCCGGTGACGGCGTCCAAGTTGCTCCACCTGAACGTGTCGGGTGTGGAGCCGGATCCTTTGCCCGTGGGTCCTTTGACGCCCGAGGAGACGCAGGTCCTTCTGCAGAAGCTGAGCATAAACAATCCGTTCTATCGCTTCCGCAAGCAGAGCAACTCCTTGAAGGAGCTGCGGCGAAGGGCGATCCTTCCCACGGTCCGATCCCGATCCGAAACGGATCTGGGCCCAGTGGCTGGCCAGGAAGCACTACCACACCAGCAGCAGCACAGTGAAGCCAAAGTTGTAGTTGTACTAGGAAGTAAGCAGCAGGAAGTAGCCATAAGTAGGCCTAGGAGTAGCGTTAGCCTTAAGACTAGATCCGTAAGCAGCCTGATGAGCAGTCCCTCCGCCAATCAGACGGGAGACAGCTCCACGGTGATCACGAATCCTTTCTCTATATTCCACGACGATGAGATCCTTACGCTGAGCGTTAACACGCGCCTGCGTAATGCGGGAAATGCCAGGAGTTCCAGACCCCAGCGACAGGGTCGGGGTTTAAGGAGACTCTTCGAGTCCAATCGGAGTCAAAACCCCCCCTCCGAACATCACTATCTGCATGGGGTGCCAGTAAGGCGCTTCGAACGGCAGGACTTTGACAATGATCCTGGGGACTTACTAGGCCGCAGGACGAACACCTCGAGTGGCAAGCCAAAGCGATCGAAGGCCATCTTCAAGCAACTGTCTCTACGAAAGCTGCACCATCGAGCAGGTGTGGAGGATCCACCTTCGTTGCCCAAGCTCAAGCTGAGCTATCCTAACAGGACGCACAGCATCCAGAGCATGAGGGCCTCAGGCGGCGGGGGCTATGACATCCAGCACACCACTGCCTACCATCCAAGACTTAACCACTCCACGTCGCCGGTGACCAAGGCCAATTACTTCGAGCGACTGCAAGCGAAGACGCGGCAGGGAATCCAGAAGATACGCGACAAGTGCCGGAACTTCAAGACGACCACTGGCGAGGGAGGCTCCTTGGGCGGCTCCGAGTTCAGTGGCTTCCACACCCTGGCCAAGGACGAGAGCTTCCGCTTCATCAGCGACCGGGCACACATCTCCAGCTACGAGTCCCGCTGCAAACAGGCCACCATCTACAAGAGCTACAAGTCGGAGATCGATCTCAGCAAGAATCTGCACTACCTGGATGCCTATTTGGAGCAGAACTTCGATCACCAGCTGAGCACGACCAAGCAATCGGCCCACTCTGTAGGTCGCGTTAGTGGAGCCCAGCGAAGAGCTCTGGCCAAGCAGCCTGATCCTGCCCCAGAGACTCCTCGTCGGCCGCGGCACAAGAGAAGTCAATCGCAGGCGGCGAACTTTGGTGCCAACTATGAGAACCTCGGAACCCTGCCCATTGCGTCCAAGTCGAAGGTCCGGCCCCCCGCCCTCAACTCGGACTCGATGAGCAGCTCCGACTATGCCTCCGTGTTCAGTGGGCCCACCACCAACCGCCAGGAGCCGGAGGAGGAGCCTAAGGACTTCAAACTGCGATACGAGCACCCGGACAAAATGTGCGAGTACTACTTTGACAACCTAACGAGCTATGCTCTGGCTTTGGAGGAAAGTGAGGACTTGCTGCTGGCGGAAAGCGCCAAATCAGCGAGATTCTTTTACGACGACGAAGAGGATGATGACGATGAGGTCGCGGAGGCGGAGGCGGCAGCGGCCAAAGGACTAGGTGAAACGGAGGAGGCGGCTGGCGGTGGCAGGCCGGATTACATGGCCCGCGACATACGCATTCGCGTCAGCGTGAACGAGTGCGAAGACGCTGATTGGCATCAGCCGGCGAGTGCGACATCGTATAATGAGAATCTGGCCGAGAGCACATTCTACCAGTCGCTCAATCAGCACTTGCAGCGCCAGGAGGTTGGCGACGAGCTCGGGATGGAGGACCAGGCGAACCTCCTGGTGGGCGGAGGAGGAGGAGGAGTAGCTGTAGCGGGCGGCGAGAGCTACCTGGAGCACTTCCAGCGACAGCGGAGCAGGCACTACGAGAGGGCCACGAATCCCACGCTCTATCAGCGCAGTGAGCTCTACGGATTTGGCAGGACTGTCGGCGAGGAGCAGCCTGATGTGGCCAGACAGCGACGGGCGGATCTCATGGAGGCCCACTACGCCCGCAGCTATCAGACGGGGGGCACCAGTCGGGGAAAGGGCAGGCCGAGGCAGGGCCATGGACTGGAGATGGGACGACAGCAGGCAGCAATCCCGGCTGCAACAGCAACCGCAATGCCAGCTGCAACAGGCAGTGTCATCAATTTGGCGCTGCCGGCACAAAGCTCCGATGTTCTGTATGCCACCAGCAGCAAGCAGCAGATAACGATGCCAACGCCAACCGCAGGGTCACAGTTCCATCAGCCAAAGCCAGAGGCTGTGGCAGTGGCATTAGGTGAAGGAGCAACGGGAGCAACATCAGCAGCAGGAGCAGCAGCAGCAACATCGGTCCCTGGCAGCTCAGCCGGAAATGCAAACAATCGCTATATGCTGGAGAATTTGCGCAAATACTATGCGAATCAGCAGCAACACCCGCCCGCGCACTCGGTCAACTCCTCCTCGTTGTCCAACTCCTCCTCGTCGAACTCATCAATGTCACAGCAACAACACCAACAGCAGCTAAAGCTCAATCTGAACCTGCAACCCACCGCGCCCAAAGTGCAGCAACAACATTTGGGCAACCGCCGAAACTCGAGCACCTCGAATGCCTCCTCGACCGCCGACAACTTTGACACCTTCATAACGTTGCGCAATGCCACGGCAAATACGAGCACGGATTATATGGCCAAAAAGCAGCAGCAGCAGCAACATCGTCGTGGGAAGCAGCAGCAGCAGCAGCAACATCAGCAACCGCTCACCTCCGCTCTGAACTACTACGGACACGCGGCCACGCCCACCCTGACTCCCGCCCTCGCCTACAATGGCAAATTAACGGCCACCGCAATGTTGTCACAAGTAAATTTAAGCAGAGCTGCCGCAGCGGCAGCGGCAACATCGTCGTCCAGTGGAGCGGCAACGGCAATGGCAACGGCAACGGCAACAACTGGCCCACTGCTGCCGCATCAGCAACATTCGAGGTCCACGTCCAAGGGAGAGGGTTTCATCCTGGAATACGAGTGTTAGCAATCGATCGGGGAGGAGGAGGAGGGATGGCTAGTTGTTTCTTTCTCGTTTGCTATTTGTTTGCCTTGCCAAAAATTACAATTACAAATTGGCACATTTGCTTCTACGCTGATTAGGACTCGTCGTGTGTACAGATATAAAGAGTATGTAATATAAGCAGTGAAGGAGGAGAGGAGTTGGAGGAGTTGGAGGAGCCAATTATTCGTATCATATCAGAGAAAAGGGGGATAGTTAAATCGTTTGCATAGGAAGATGCTTATCCACTTGATTATGTTAGGAGATAAATTAACGTAAACTACGACAATAATGCAACAATTCAATTAAAGTTGACAAAGATATGGATAACGATACAGAACTTGCAACTCGTATAGCATACATTTATTAGTCACAATCTTAGCGAAGGACACATACATTGAAGCAGCATAAATCAAATTTATAGTTAAATCAATTAAACATCCATGTTAAGCGTTCTCCTAAATGTATATGTGTATGTATATCCGTAAAGTGTATATGTACGTAAGCGACCCATACTGTGTACTGCATCCTATAAAGATAAAGAGTTTTTCAAACGTACTTTAAACTCCAGTTTAGTTAATCGCCGGCCCAGTTCTTGCTTTTGATTCTCATTTTACAAATCAAACTCGTGCAAAGTTACTACACAAGTACCGTAGAGTACATAACTACAAATAAATAAATAACTATCTACGCTTGAATTTAAGTAAAAGTTTGGAATATGAAACTCTTGCCGAAGTTTGTGGAATTGTAAAGGGAAAAAAACCAAGCACTCACGAGATTCCATTCGATTAAACGAACCGAAAAATTAGCTTGCCATGAAAAGGCATAATTTTGTTAAACGAATTTGACTTGCTGAGTAAACTTTTGAGTTATTCCCATTGTAAATAAAACTAGCTATTACCGAGCAAGCCTGCTGAGTGCCATCAGCGATCGCCATTAATGAGTGTGCACGGTGCGTATGCGCAATATTTTCTCATTACAAGAATCGGGGTGTCGGTGTGTTCGCAACCACATAAATATTTGTACGGCGGCCGAAAAAGGAAATTCACGCACACACACTGAAGGGTCACAAACAAGCCGATTGCTTTGGGACGCCGCATACACACACTCCACTCCATATATAAAAACAGCAAATGGGGAAAAAGAAACACAGGCAACGCGGCGAATGTGCAATGTATTTCATTTCCATGCCACAACGCCGTCTGGGGGCCTCCATGCAATTATCTGTGTGCGCGCAATTTATCTCATTTGCGGTTGAGTTATTTCCGACTGCAGCAAATAATGCTGCCAGCCAACGTCCAGATCGCATTGGTCTGCATCTGTGACTGTGTGTGTGTGTCCTGCCTTATTTTTTGTGCTCCAGGACCCCCTGGCACCCATCGAACAACCTCCCTCGCCCCCCCTTTCGTATGCCGCAACACACTTTTCCGCTTAATTTACTGGCAGGCGGCAGCTGCCTTCGCTGCATTGTCAGTTGACAACAG